CTTAAATAAACTATTGATAACTGTAGTTATCAATCATGTAAAACATGTAAATGTAATTTGTTTTAAGTATGGGATGAATTCATTTTCATTACTATGTTAAATGATTTACTTCAAATCTTTTTTCCCGTGGGGATCCGGGTTAGAATAGGTCCTCAGTAATTTACTTCAAACCTTTTTTCCCGTGGGGATCCGGGTTAGAATAGGTCCTCAGTACCCCTTGCTTGTCGTAAAAGGCGACTAAATGGGGCGGTCCTTCGGATGAGACCGTATAAACCGAGGCCCCGTGTCACAGCAGGTGTGGCACGATAAAGATCCCTCCCTGCTCAAAGGCCCTGAGTGCCGAGCATAGGCCTAAATTTGCAGCCCTTCACCGGCAATGGTGACGTCTCCATATCAGTGAAATATTCTGGAGAGGGACGTTAAACAGTATACAATCAATCAATACAATCAAATCTTTTGAATTGATGCAGAACATAAGATAAACTAGAGGTACTGTGAACAATGAGCTTACCAACTGATACCCCCCGCCACCCATATGAATAAAATGGCAGTGTCCATGTTTTGCTCTTGAAAATCCTAAATATATGTCAGATCAAAAAGTAAAATAGGAGGTGCACAATGGCAATATGTAATAAAGATTCTGTGAAAGTTTCATCAAATTTCTTTCAGTAGTATGAGAGGAGTTGCGGATAAGAGATGGGTACCCCAAAGCGTAACAGACGGACGGACGGACGGACGGACAGACGGACGGACGGACGTACAGACGGACGGAAATACCGATTACTATATACCCTCCCGCTTTTCAAGCGGGGGGTATAATGACAGGTTTTGCGTAGGACTGATGCAGTCTTAGGCAGTTCTTTATACAATCTTATGCGCACTAAATGTTAGGCTGCTAGTACAGTATAAATATAACTAAATTATCTTTTAAAATAAGTATCAATTGTAAACCACAGTGATACATCGGGGTGATGTTGATGAGATAAAAAGAGAGGCGAGGATGTGTGTCGGTGTTCATTCAGGCTGAAGAATCTAGAGTATAGGTTTCACAGTGACTATGGTGTACATGTTATTCATTGGTTATAATTTAAGCAACTGTTAACTGTATTTTTCTGCATGAGGTGAAAAAATAAGAACAGTAGAACCAGTGAGTACCTTCTTAAAATTCCTTAGTATGGTATTGTTCTATAGAATTCACATATTCACTGGTCTTTCTCGCAACCCTGGAAAACATATCCGAGATTTATTTTAAGCTTTTTATTTTCTTTGGAAAGACCTAAGAAGGTAACTAAGCTGAAAAAAATAGAGAACTTATTATAACTAATTATAGTGCGGCCAAATTTACTTACTGTATGTTACATTACATTTTGTACATTTTCTACTGGTAAAACTGCACTTGGACAACAAAACAGGAAACATCATTAATATATTTAGAATATAAAAATGAAATAAACATGGTGCAGTATATCTATAGTAGTATTCCAAGACTGACCATGCGTATTTTTTGTGAAAAAGTCTAAGGTAGATTAACCTTAAATCTAAACAATATCATATTTTTTTTAACAAATTGACCACTAGTTGATTTAACTTGCAGCAGATGATTTAAGCCGAACAATTAAACCCACTTTCCAATTCATTTTTAGACGTGATATGTACTCTTTCAAACTAAGCTTTACGAATCAGTACAGGTTTATGGTTAAATCCAATTTCCACAAATCTGTATCTAAAATAGAGATATTAACAAGGACATTCAAGGAATTATGGTCCTTCGTTTTTGATCTATTTGCAAATAAAATTAATTTATATTACTATGCATGAATATTTATTTTGAGATTTAAAAAAAACTGAGTTTCATAATTTAATTAATGACAAAATAGACTTGGAAAATTACTTTAAAACCTAAGAAATAAGACGGATTTGATTATAATCCTGATATATGAATATAGATGAGACAATAATAACATTTTTTTAACACTTTACTCCTCTTCAAAGACAAAGAGTGGCTATTGTGAGAGCTGTAATACTGTGGGGTTTAGAAAAATATATCAATTTAAATAATCCGATCGGTAAGAGTAATAAACTGGGGACAAATAAACACTGTATCATTTTTTGCTGACCGTAACAAAGTGACAAGGTTAACAATTTTATTATACCCCCCGCTTGAAAAGCGATCGTTAATTCCGTCCATCTGTACGTCCGTCCGTCCGTCCGTCCGTCTGTCCGTCCGTCTGTTACGCTTTGGGGTACCCATCTCTTATCCGCAACTCCTCTCATACCACTGAAGGAAATTTAATGAAACTTTCACAGAATCTTTATTACATATTGCCATTGTGCACCTCCTATTTTACTTTTTGATCTTACATATATTTCGGATTTTCCAGAGCAAAACATGGATACTGCCAATATATTCATATGGGAGGCGGGGGGTATCATTTAGTGAGCTTATTGCTCACAGTACCTCTAGTTTGTTTTTAGATGAAACATAAATCATTCCCATTTTTATGGACTAAATTTCTCCCTCTTGTTTACTCTTAATTACTGAGCCCTAACTTCTTACACCTAAATTCAATAGACTATTTCTTATTATTGAAAATGTTTTTTTTTTAATAAAGCGTTAACGGTAATTTACATAAGCTAATAAAGACCAATTTTGATTTATCAAAAAATGCCGATCAGCATTTCAAAATATTAAAATGAAATACACATGAACATGAACTTTATTATTTTTTAAGGGGAGGCCAGAGTGCTTTCAGTCAAGAAGTGCTTTTGTTTTGGGCTCCTATGAAAGAAAAGAAAATACTTGTTTTTGTTTGTTTTGATGAGGATTTTTCAGTCTGTAGTGAAAATAACAGTGTAAGTAAACTGAAAAAGCATGAATTTCAACACTTTTTACATTTTTTGCTATATAATATATGTTTGTACATAACTAACTGTGTAAGATGTCTAGCATATATTTTTAAGCCATTCTAATGTATATGGAAGAGAAACAAGTGGGGAAAAACAAAGGAAATATTATTGGTGAAGTGACCTTGATATTCCTTTTTAGTTCAAATGAACACAAACTTTGAACTGAAAAAGGAAACGATAGGAATGAATTGAAGTGAACAATGTGTTTTGGGGAAAGTTTCGGGGATCCCTCGTCTCGTTAATCAGCCCTGAAGCTCCTAGATTTCCGTGTATTTTAAGAGTAAAACCAGGTACCATAATAGTGTATCTATTTTTGTTTTTAAAGTGACATATAGGTTCAGTTGTTTGAATATTAAATCTATTGAATGTTCCTCCTTGTATTGTATTATAACACATGCCACTATAATCAGGGATTATACTGACAGGATTTCGTAATTAATTATATCTCTTATGCTATCACATATTTCAGATCAAACCTTTTAATTATATCTTTCAAAAATTAATTCAAGATTTGTTTTCTAGAACGGATTATACTCCTTATCTAAGAAGTAATTTCGTTTCATTCAAAATTTCCGAGGAATCACCGATTTCGGTGTTTGTTTTCTAAATATTTGATTTATATTAGAATTAATGCTTTAAAATCTATTAAATATCAATTCCAATATATAAAATGAATAAGTGATATTAATCCAAAAACACCTTATTTACTAGGAATAAGCTTAATTTAAAAAAAACTTATAGTGTTGTGTATGATGTTTTGGGTAAATATACATGGCGATGAAGGAGTTACCTATCCCGTTAATACCTGTAGGTCCTTGCTATAATAAACGATTTACTTACTCACTTATTTATATTCGTATTGGCTGGTTATGTACCAAAGTACGGCATTATTAACACTAGTCGTATCGTACTTTGAATGATGCATGGGGCCAAGGGGGCGAAGCCCCAGCAAGCTCCTTGGTTTTTGGTGTATTTAAAAGAGTAAAACCAGGCTCAATAAAAGTGGTATTGGTTAGTTATGTACCAAAATATGGCATTATTACGTAATAATATTAGTCATATCATAATTTGAAAATTTTAGGGGGGGGGGGGGCGTGCGCCCCCAGGTCCCTTTTAATGCCTAGTGTTTATTGTAGTAAAACCATTTCTAAAACGACAAGGGATGTAATATTTTTCTCAATGTAGCAAATGAAGCCTTTCGATCGCAAAGATTTATTACACAACACAGTATTTTGCGTAGTAAACTATGTTTTGACGAACACTGCTGACATGCTCAAAATGTAATAAATCCATTTGTTCGATTGTAAATTGAAAATTTGTAAATGTGTTGTACCGAACACAGGGTGTCAGTAAAATATGAGTTTTAAATGAAGATGGATAAGGTCCAGTATAAATCGTTTTATTTCAAAGTAATCCAGTGATGTCTATACATGTTGTTATTTTATATTGTAAACAACATCTGCCTATCCACGTATTTAAAACGCCTCTCAGATTTTTCCTGTATTTTTTTAAAAACCTTTTTCTGAATGTTATGTTTAGGCGCGTCAATGTATAATACACTATCTGTGCTATATAATGGCATGCATGGTTAACCATGCCTGCTTACCATTTAAATTAGAAAATATCGGGTATGGAAGACGCAATGAAGGAAACAAGAAAAATACATTTCCTGTTTTATTTGAAACAAGAGAAGAATATATAATTTTTAGGTTTCCTGAGGTAAATATACATTGTATAAGTAATACTGATAAAATGAATATCCATCTTTCGTATTTTTACACAGTTGTTTATGGCTGTGTTTACTTTCGTTTTGAATTAGTTTAATTAGTGCTTACTGGGTTTTTTCAACGAAAAATAACCTTTTGATTAAGAATATAAGGTCACTCATTAGCTTTTTAGAAAAGTTCAGACAGAACCTCTTTTTTTCAATTTTATAGCATATATTGACTATATATTGTTCAAAATCCTTTGAAAAAAATCCTCATCAATTCATAAAGACGCAAGATTTATGAAGCACTATTTCTTGTGGTGGAAGGATATTTACGTGTAGCAAAATTTTTTAGAAATATGCATATTTATTTAATTCAATATCTTTTAACATAAGACTCGCATACTTTAACTCAGGAAATATTTTCTATAATGACATGCTAGAAAATATCAAATAACGGTCTCAATTTATATTTTTTGAACAAATTCACTCCTCCTCTTAACAAACAAAGCTGTGAAGTGAAGATATACATATATGAATGAAGCCAAGAAAATATTTTTGCCAGAATATTTCAAGATATGCATCACTGGCCCCGATTTTCTGTTAATTTTTTTAAACTACGTGATACTATTGACTGATCAGCACTTAAGTTTTAAATAAAATGATACAAGAATTAATTTAACTGCTTATTTAGAATTTCATTACCTCAAATATATCATTTTTAGTGCAAAAAGGTCACACAACAATTATCATTAATTCATTTGCATAACTTGTTTATTCATAAAAATTCTTCAAACTATTTTTCGTAAAAAAAAACCATATTTATTGCCATATGCATGGCTAAGGCTGATAGAATATTATTAAGGTCAAATGATTAACAAGAGTTCCTCTATGATTTTGAGTCATACTATATGGGTACATATCTAAAATATACTTCTTAAAAATCCTTCATACAAAACTTTTCACTCGTGACATACCTTAATAAAAAGCAAACAATGTGTATACCGTTTTTGACAGTTATGGAAAACTTTGTGGAATCATGTCCTCAAAACACAGAAGAGGTCTTGGAATCCTCCATCAGGTTGAGTTGTGGTCAGGATCGATATGGAAATGATCAATACATCTGTGTCCCTAACATTGACAAATCAGGACTCATAGAATTGTGTTACAACGGGATCATGGGGATGATAGAAAGGGGTAAGTAAGCTCAAATAAAATAACAATTTTGTTTCCCTTTTCCTTGTTTTATATTTAGATTTTGATCAACATCAAATAATAGATACAATACTAGATGAGATCTCGTTGCGAGCAACGAGTAGGTCTTCCGTTGAATTACTCGATAAGATGAGATGTGATTTTGACTGAGATATTTGTTTATAGAGAAAGACATTAAGTTATCCTTCATTAAATTTAAAGTTTCTGATTTTTATCATGATATTCTGAACATCTTTTGTCCAATATGGCTTATAAAAATGCTCCCCTTTTTGAAACGTAAAGCATAAAAAATATAGCATTTTGGTCCCTTGCAATCCTTATTACGTAAGATATAACCAAAATTTTATAATATATTGTTGCAAATCATTAAGATGAATACTTATGCTTCATTAATGTATTAGAAAATATTGATGATTAGAGAGTTATAGATAAAAGACTTTTGGCCCTTCTGAACCCCTAATTTAAGGGGTCATCCCCATTTTCTTGGTATAAAATGAAAGGTCTTGTGATTTTGAAGATTTTTTGTTCAGATTTATTTCAGAGATTTTTATTCGTCGACACGATATATCCTGGTGAGCTTGAGATAAAAGAAACCACAGAGTCCGACACTTCTGCTTCATACTTGGATATTTTACTTGAAAAAGACACTAATGGTAATCTAACAACCAAGCTATATGATAAACGTGATGACTTTAACTTTTCTATCGTCAACTTCCCTTACTTATGCAGCAATATACCTTCATCACCTGCATACGGAGTATTTATATCTCAGTTGATTCGATACGCAAGAGCATGCTCTACGTATGAACAATTTCTTAAACGAGGTAAATTATTGACAAGCAAGTTGATGAAACAAGAATATCAACAGTCTCGTTTAAAGTCATCATTTCGTAATTTCTATGGTCGATACAATGACCTTGTCAGCAAATACAATTTATCATTGAATGAAATGCTGACTGACGTTTTTCATACCAATTGTTAGTCCAATATTTATACACTGAATTGACCACGGATTTTTTCCGTTATTTGTTATTTATGCTAAATGGAAATATTTAGGGGCCACCCCTCCAAGTCCTTTATGGGGTCGTTTTACAAAAAATCCCCCATTTTTTTACAAAAAATTGATTTATGCATATTGTTAAGAACATCATTCTTACCATCTTTTGTTCAGTATTGCTTATTAAAATATTCCCCCTTTTTGAGATATAAAGCGTCAAAGATTTGACATTCTGGCCCCTTGTGACCCCTAATTACGTAACATATGATCAAAATCTTATCATATATTGTTGCAAATTGTTAAGATAAATACTTTTGCTTCAGCAATGCATAACAAAATATTGATCATTAGAGAGTTATAGATAAAAGACTTTTGGCCCCTCTGAGCCCCTAATTTCAGGGGTCAGCCCTATTTTCTTGATATCAAATGAGAGGTCTCGTGATTTTGAAGATTTTTTGTTCAGCACTTATTCAGAGTTTTCTATTTGTTATGGAGATATGCTAAATGGAAATATTTAGGGGCCACCCCTCCAAGTCTCTCATGGGGTCGTTTTACAAAAATTTGAAGTATGCATATTGTTTAGAACATCATTCTTACCATCTTTTGTTCAATATTGCTTATCAAAATATTCCCCCTTTTTGAGATATAAAGCGTCAAAGATTTGACATTCTGGCCCCTTGTGACCCCTAATTACGTAAAATATGATCAAAATCTTATCATATATTGTTGCAAATTGTTAAGATAAATACTTTTGCTTCAGCAATGCATAACAAAATATTGATCATTAGAGAGTTATAGATAAAAGACTTTTGGCCCCTCTGAGCCCCTAATTTCAGGGGTCAGCCCTATTTTCTTGATATCAAATGAGAGGTCTCGTGATTTTGAAGATTTTTTGTTCAGCACTTATTCAGAGTTTTCTATTTGTTATGGAGATATGCTAAATTGAAATATTTAGGGGCCACCCCTCCAAGTCCTTTATGGGGTCGTTTTATAAAAATTTGAAGTATGCATATTGTTAAGAACATCATTCTTACCATCTTTTGTTCAATATTGCTTATTAAAATATTCCCCATTTTTGAGATAAAAAGCGTCAAAGATTTGACATTCTGGCCCCTTGTGACCCCTAATTACGTAACATATGATCAAAATCTTATCATATATTGTTGCAAATTGTTAAGATGAATACTTTTGCTTCAGTAATGTATAACAAAATATTGATCATTAGAGAGTTATAGAGAAAAGACTTTTGGCCCCTCTGAGCCCCTAATTTGAGGGGTCAGCCCCATTTTCTTGATATCTTATGAAAGGTCTTGTGATTTTGCACATTTTTTTTTCAATATGCTTTAACAAATTATTAACAGGTATGAAGATATGAAACAAAATGTGTGAAATTTTGTGAGATATTTCTGAGACATTTTTCCGGACCCTACCGAGCTCCGGCGCCTTTTGCGCTAGAAAGATTTGGAGACCCAATTACAATTCACTAAACCTTCCTTTAGTTTCACTGAAAATCTTAAGTCAATATCTTAAGTCGTTTAGGAGGAGTTTCCCGGACAAGCCGACCCTCTGAAAATCAAAAAATCGTCCATATCTCACGACCGGAAATGAGATAATCAAAAAGGAAAAAAACCTATCAAGTTCAATTGAATATCTTTAAGATCTGAAAGTTTGGTATAAATCGGACAAGCCATCTCTGAGAAATCGCTTGCACAAAATCGGTTGGAAGAAAAATAATAATAACTAGAGCCGAGCTCGTTGCAAAGCAACGAGTAGGTCTTCCGTCCTGTTTGACCGGAAGTAACTTTCATTAAAAAAAGAGCAATGAAGTCCAAAAATGGTTTATTCCTCCAAATCTATATTAATTATTGCAAAATTTAGCCATTTTTGGCAACTTCCGGTTTGACCGGAAGTACCGTCGACGGACGGAAAATTAAGATTTAAGCTTCCAATGACATATGATATCCAAAAACCTGTCAAGAACAGCAAAAATATGCAATTTTTGACTACTTCCGGTTTGACCGGAAGTGACGTCGTCGACGGACGTATTTTGACGACCCCATTAGATAAAACTTGATATTTTAAACAACTTTGCTTCTTTGATGTATTACAAATTCTCAATACTTTTTGAGATATAAAGAAAAATCTTTTGGCCCCTCTAGGCCCTTAATTTTAGGGGCCAGCCCTTTTTTCGAGATATCATTTGAAAGATCTTGGGATTCTACACTTCTTTTGTTCTATATGTTTTAACAAAATATTTCCAGGTAAAAAGATATTGTAGAAAAGGTGTCAAAAATTTTGAAATTCGTGATAGGACTTTTTTCGGGCCATATCGAGCGCCGACGTGCGGCACTTCCGATAAAAATGAAATACATTCCGCAAATCTACAGACATAGGTCTACCATACCTGAAAGTATCATGTGTCTATCTCAAGCCGTTTAGGAGAAATCGTGCGGACAAAACGACCCTTAAAAATTCATTAAAATGGCGATATCTCCGGACCGGAAGTGACGTCATCAAAACAGAAAAAAACGCATAAGGTTCAAGTGATGTAACATAAGTCCTGAAAGTTTCATGGAAATCCATCGGGCCATTTTTGAGAAATCGCGTGCACAAAATCGGTAAGAAAAAAAAAACAATAATAACTAGAGCAAAGCTCGTTGCAAAGCAACGAGTAGGTCTTCCGTCCTGTTTGACCGGAAGTAGCATTAGTTTTTAACAAAAAGGAGAAATAACGCCTAAAAATAATTTGAATCCTTTAACGCTATGTTAATTTATGCAAAAATAAGCAATTTTTTGCTATTTCCGGTTTGACCGGAAGTGACAACAACGGACGAAAAAATTCTTTTTTTGCTTCTAGAGACATTTGTTACCAAAAAACTTGTCAAGAACGGCAAAAATACGCGTTTTTCGACTACTTCCGGTTTGGCCGGAAGTGACGAGCCGGACGTTTTCTGACGACTTCAATAGATTCAGCTTGTCATTTTGAACAACTTTGCTGTTTTGACGTATTACAAATTCTCAATACGTTTTGAGATATAAAGTAAAAACTGTTGGCCCCTCTAGGCCCTTTAATTTAGGGGCCAGCCCTTTTTTCGAGATATCATTTGAAAGATCTTTAAATTCTGCACTTCTTTTGTTCTATACGTTTTCACAAAATATTTTCAGGTAAAAAGATATCGAAGAAAAGGTGTGAGAAATTTTGAAATTTGTGATAGGTCTATTTTCGGGCCATAGCGAGCGCCGACGAGCGTCATTCCTGGTAAATTTGATATACTTGATGCACCTCTCCAGACATAGCTCTACCTAGCCTCAAAGTTTGAAGTTTCTATCTAGAGCCGTTTTTCGGGAAAATTGTGGACAAAATGACCCTTAAAAATCAGAAAATCGATGATATCTCTAGACCGGAAGTGACGTCATCGAAACGGAAAAAAACGCATAAGGTTCAAGTGATGTTCCATACGTCCTGAAAGTTTCATAAGATTTTGTTGAGCCGTTTTCGAGAAATCGCGTGCACAAAATCGGTAAGAAAAAAAAATAATAATAAAAGTGAAAAAGAAACCGAAGAAAAACAATAAGGTCTTCCGCTGAAGACGGAAGACCTTAATAAAAGTGAAAAAGAAACCTAAGAATAACTAGATACGATCTCGTTGCGAGCAACGAGTGGGTCTTCCGTCCAATTTGAGATAAGATTTTGATTGAGATTTTCATTAAAAGATAATGATTTACCACAATCTGTAAAAAGACATTGAAGACTTAAAAAATCGGCTTTTGGCCCCTTAACGGCCCCTAATTGTAGGAATCAGCCCTTTTTCTTCATGTCATCTAAAAGCTCTTAGGATTTCGATCACTTTTTGTTCAACAACTGTTAAGAAATTCTTTTCGTTTTTTGAGCTATTAGCAAAAGAAATATTTAGGGGCCAACTCTTCAACTCCTTAATGGGGACGTTTAGCAAAAAATGAAAGGTTGCATATGTTCAGAACATTATTTAGAACATCCTTTGTTCAATATTGCTTCTCAAAATATTTCTGCCTTTCGAGATACAAAGCATCAAAGATTTTGCATTCTGGCCCCTTGTGGCCCCTAATTATGTACCATACGACATTAAACTTATAATATATAATTGTAGATTGTTGAGATAAACATCTTTGCTTCAGTAACATATTACAAAATATTAACTAATAAAGAGTTATCGATTGAAGACTTTTGGCCCCTCTTGGCCCCTAATTTGAGTGCCCAGCCCCTTTTTCTTGATGTCATCGTACAGCTCTTAACATTTTGAACATTTTTTGTTCAACAATTAATCAGAAATTCTTTTTCGTTTTTGAGCTATTAGCAAAAGAAATATTTAGGGGCCAACCCTTCAACTCCTTAATGGGGACGTTTAGCAAAAAATGAAAGGTTGCATATTGTTTAGAACATTATTTTGAACATCTTTTGTTCAATATTGCTTATCAAAATATTTCTGCCTTTCGAGATATAAAGCGTCAAATATTTAGCATTCTGGCCCCTTGTGGCCCCTAATTATGTAACATACGACATAAAAATCATAATATATAGTTGTAGATCGTCGAGATAAACATCTTTGCTTCAGTAACATATTACAAAATATTAACTAATAAAGAGTTATCGATTGAAGACTTTTGGCCCCTCTTGGCCCCTAATTCGAGTGCCCAGCCCCTTTTTCATGATCTCATCGTACAGCTCTTAAGATTTTGAACATTTTTTGTTCAACAATTAATCAGAAATTCTTTTTCGTTTTTGAGCTATTAGCAAAAGAAATATTTAGGGGCCAACCCTTCAACTCCTTAATGGGGACGTTTAGCAAAAAATGAAAGGTTGCATATTGTTTAGAACATTATTTTGAACATTTTTTGTTCAATATTGCTTATCAAAATATTTCTGCCTTTCGAGATATAAAGCGTCAAAGATTTAGCATTCTGGCCCCTTGTGGCCCCTAATTATGTAACATACGACATTAAAATTATAATATATAGTTGTAGATCGTTGAGATAAACATTTTTGCTTCAGTAATGTATTACAAAATATTGATTGTTACAGAGTTATCGTATAAAGATTTTGGCCCCTGTCGGCCCCTAATGTGATGAGTCAGCACTTTTTTCTTGATATCATATTAAAGATCTTGTCATTCTGCACAAATATTGCTCAGTATGTTTTAACAAAATAATTATACTTTAAAAGATATGATGGAAAATGTCTCAAAATTTCAGTCATGATTCATGTCCTAATTTCTGACCCCTACCGAGCTTCCATACTAAACACTTCCGGAATATTTGAAAGTATAGGTGCAAAACTATAATATGTTGTCTATCAGTCCTGAAAAGGACAGCATTCTAGCTTTTGTCGTTTTTGAGTTTTTGTCCGGACAAAATGGTCACTAAAAATTCGATTAAAGGGCGATAACTTCCGACCGGAAGTGATTTTTCAGAAAATAAAAAAAAAGTATCAGGTTTAGTTCATGATACATCATTCCTGAAAATTTCAAGGCAATCCACTCAAGCATCTCTGAGAAATCGTCTGCACAAAAAAATAATAATAATAATAATAAAAGTGAAAAAGAAACAATAGAATAATAGTAGGGTCTTCCGTTGGAGACGGAAGACCCTAACAAGAAGGTCTTCCGCTGAAGACGGAAGACCTTAATAATAATAATAATAATAATAATAATAATAGGGAAAAAGAAACCGAACGAAAACAATAAGGTCTTCCGTTGGAAACGGAAGACCTTAATAACTTCAGAAAAAAATCTCATCAAATGATCAAGAGAAGAAGAGAGATAAATATAATATACACCTTAATTATCCAATAATTTATAAGCAGCTTCTTGATTGATACTCCATCTATTTATTCATATATTTTCGTTCTATCTCTTATATGTGCTCCTCCCACATTATGATTTTATGTCAATAATTATAAATTACCGACATCGATACAGGCAATTGTCTGAGGACTACAGGAGGACAACTGTATCGTACCAGCTGTCTTGGGTTTTCATCAGGCTGTCCAGACATAGAGTACAGAAGCAACAAGATATATTTATGTGAGACTCTTGTAAACTAGAAATATCCCATTGAATTTAAACAAGCGTTAATGTTGTATGTTATTGTTATTGCTTTTCTTGTGTTTTAAGATCCCGCTTGCCAGAACATCAATACACGAGATAGATGTTATCTTGCTGAACCCTCATGTCCAAATGCGTAAGTAAATGCCTGAAGAAAGAACTTCAAGGTAAAAATAGTGATAAACTGTTAATATCGGTCAAATATCGTATAAAAGTGTTTTTTTAATTTTCCCAGGCAAACTCAAATAAGGTGATGGGTCTTTCCTGACCAAATAGGGAAATCTCGATAAAGAATATTCTAAACTTACCCTCTTCTACGAAAGGGGTGGGCATTAATTGCAATTATTATACCTTTAAAATTGTTGCTATACAAATCTATACAGAAAAAATGTCTAACAATTTTAATGTTTTGCTGAGCGGGCATAAAAAAATCGATGTTGGACCGCTCGGAGAGATGTTGGACCGCTTACATCACAGAATGGGCGGAGTTTAATCTCATTTTCATTCTTTGGTTTTAAACAGTGACAGATCTAATGTTACATTACTGAATATAGTACAAAATACATGTATGTCAAAAAATATAAAATAAAATGAAAGGTATAACAAAACATTTATTGACAGAGTTCTAGGGCAAAATGCGTTTTGTCGGAACCTCGAATCAAACTGTCTGCAGTTTGGTTCTTGGGTCCGACAAAACGCATGTTGTCCTCAAACTCAGTCAATAAATGTATAATATTATACTTTCGTGTAAATAACTTGAATCTGATTCGTGGAGAAACATTTGATAAAAAAAACACAACTACCCGCTGAATAATGAAGCCACGCTCTCCTGCGTAGCAACAGTCAACATTGCTTGACGACGGGTGGTATTACAAAAAAAAAAAAAAAACAAACAAACGACTGCGCGCAATTTATGCTCGCACGGATCACTGTAATATGTATTTGTATAAAACATTCAGTATGATATAATAAACATTGCATGTAGTTGAGTGTAACATTGAAAATTTTCACCCATTGAAAACCATTGTCAACCTCGGCTGCGCCTCGGTTGACAATGGTTTTCTTGGGGTGAAAATGTTCAATGTTACACTCAACTACATGCAATATTTATATAATACTTTTCAAAATTAACTAAAAAGAAAATAATGAATATATAACTTGTAAGCCCTAATTTCAAAGAGATATTATTCAGAAACTAATCATATTCCCTAACAAAACATGAAATACCCCAAATAAATATGCGTCAAATTATTATAACTACAAAAAAGTGATAGATTACATATTGGTTTTGTTCTAAAAAAAAAAGGCCACAATTTGTAGACAAGTCTTGAAATTTTTGCTTATAAATAATGACTTATTTCCAGATTATTACATTTAAATACCCTAATGGCTTGCAATCTACATGTAGGTTTAGCTAACAATGTTATATTCTATTGCATAAAAAAATGTTCATTGGAAAATCCTGACATAGTACAGTAAAAATGAATATAATATTTTGGTCCAAACATTTTTTACTCCACATCATCAATAGCAACTGGCTCTGATATTACAAGATGTATTTGTAAAACACTGATGCCCTTTGAGGCAGCTAGATCCGAAGGCTGAATTTTCGCAAATATTTGATAAAACTCAAAGGTGCAGATCAAAAGGTCAAGTTATTGGCAATGTTAAAATTTTGTGGATGAAGAGAAAAACATACAGATTGACTCAAAGAAAGAGACAGATTAACAATGTTAGGGTCAAGGTCAGTCCACACGTTTTTCATTTATATGTTTTTTATCTCTTGGTATTATATCAAAACATAATTGATATTTGTCATTCTTTTTTGATTTCTACATTGTTCTAAAAATGTTTTTAAATATAGATACACCAAACATTGTGTTATATGCCATTTAGAAGATTACCTATAAGGGTTTTATAAGAAATATGACCCCATGGTATCTTGGCCAAATGCCTTGTAAGGTACTCTAATTTTTTGCAAGGAAACTTGTTTAAGTTGTTTATATTTTCATTCATATAGCACAGAGAACATAAGTACCAGGGGTACTACAGGATATAAACCAGTGCTATCGACGATTCAAAGTATTTACAACACTACGATTATCAATGTATCTGAAGGCACTCTTCCACATGAGTCACACGACTCCACAGGGGCTATTGTTGGCAGCGTGGTTGCTGTTGTGTTTATCATTATTTTGGTATTGGCTGGTGTCCTCTGGAAATGGAATCAGAAGAACAAAAAACAAAGACCTATCCCAAGTATGTTTGACTTTTATGAAATGTTAAACTTCTAACTAAATAAATGAGTAAAGACATTGTTACTTGTAAAGCGATCAGATTTACACATACAATTAAGATCGAATATAAGTTCCTATTTAAACTTTTACAATGTCACATAAAATGTCAAATATTATCTCACATCCTTCTAACCGAAGCTGAAGCCTGAAGGCAAAACCTTTTTATGCGCCTGGATCGATAGATGCGAGGCGTATATTTTATAAACATGAAAATCAGCGTTTTGAAATTTTTTCTTTTTTGGTAAATTTCGAGCACAAAAATGGGGTCTCGTAAGAATACTATTAAATATATCCTCTTTACACATTAGCTGGCAATTTCGGAAATGATGATTTCAACAAACAACATAAAGAGGAAGATATACCTACAGAACCAGACTGTAAACGTCCGTTGTTGTCACACGCAAAAACCATTGATGGTAGTGATTTTATAGAGGAATCTAATAAGTGATATTAATATGTTTAAAGAAATAATATAGAAATATGTAATAATAGAAATTGACGGTTAAAATATGATTTCATTGTTGAGTACACACGGTCAACATTCCAAATTCTTTAGAAATAAAAAAAAAATGACAGAATGGTTCTTTAATATCAGTTACAAAGAAAAAAAAATAATTGGTATACAATTTTAGATACAAGAGATCTGCAACAAACATCTGACGAATTTAAACTAAGGAAAAACATATTTGAAGTCAAAGATATCGATGTCCTTAGTGAAAATGAGAAGAAAGAACAAAGTTTTACAGATCCTGTTACAAATACCTGTACCATGTCAGAGGAGGGAGACACAGGTATTGCAGATATTTGTGTTCTTTATAGGCATTACTCTGTCGCGAGTTTGATAGAATAGCTATCCCACTAACAAACAGTGGATAAGCGTTTTAGAATACTGATGTATAATATGATATCTGAGGTATGAATTTTTTTAAGTAAGATAATTCTGCAAGATGTTATTGAAATCCAGATGACTTCACAATGCTACTGAAGTCATTATGACATAAGTTTAAGGAATTATCGCTGGAAATCAAAATTTCCGACAAGAATTGCATGAAAAATTTCCGAGGGTGGATAGCAAAAATTATTTTACTCCTGTCAAAATGATTCCTATGTAAAGGTTATAGGCCGAAAACTGTCCATTCTGCGCAAGTGAGTTAAGGCTAAATATGAATATTTCTATGCAAATGAGCTAATAAAAATTCATAATTTGTATATTTTATGTACAGAGAAAGATCAAATAGATTTTCTAATACAAACTAAGTACCCTCAGTTTATTAATGGAAGTGCACATTATGACGTCATATCATGACGTCATTTTTCTCTCCCATTCAAGGTAATAAATCACATCAACAAAATCACGTCGGCGCAAGGGCATAACCTTATTAAGAATAAACAATGTATCATATAAAAGAGAATATTGTTAAAATTAATAAAATTGCTGCAAAATCCTATGAACTTTTTTAATTGATAAAAATATTGGGAAACTTACATTGGACTGTGAATTTTTACCCTGTTTAAACTAAAAACTGCACGAAAAGTAAATAAACAATTGTAGTGCCAACATTTGTGCAGCAATATCTTAAATCCTTGGAATATCCTGCGTCTATTTCTACCTTGTTTTTGTAAAACAAAGTAAGGTACATGTATGCCCTTGCGCCGAAGCGATTTTGTTGATGTTTCTTATAAACTTGTGTAGTAGAGGTTGATGACGTCATAATATGACGTCATAATGTGTACTGGCTATCGTATGTCGTGGGTACCATGAATGTATTATAAAACAAGTCTTAACATTTTCTGTGCGTTAGGTAGAGCAATTATGGAATTTAATTAGATATTTTGCTTAGAAACCTTCATATGTAGCCTTAACTCACTTGCGTGTGAGAAGGAAGAACTGTTGGAGGGCCGTTAGGCCCGACAATAGTTCTTTTTTTCTCACAGAATGGACAGTTTGGATTACAATGGACTATTTCAAACATTTACCCTATTGTGTTCATAATGTACTCTCTTAGAACTTTTGCTCATCCATTGTATTAAGTAAGGATTGTCTACTTATTGGACTGTGTCAAGTGAAGTTTTTTTTAACAAACAAAAGAAACTTGTATTCATTCTAGTTGTAAATTTAGTGGACAGTTACAGGTAAGTGTAATTTTTACGCAGTACAGTTAAGGTGCGCAATGGAAATATTAACTAAATGTTGTATTTAAAAAGGTATTCGTAATCGGGATGGCGATTATTTTAAATACATTATTTATATCGGATAATTGTAATTATGATTAATAACTACATATCGAGGACGATTATATTTTATATTTTAACTACTCACGTGATGCGACAGTCACGCGATATTAGCACATTGACTTGAAGTATTGATGTTACATATAAAAATCACTAGTGCAAGGGCATAATCAAGTTAAATTTCCAAGGTTAGTATATAAATATTTTCAACACGCATTGTAGTTTCTAAAAAGTTCTGCAATCCTGTATAAATTCTGCAATTTCATTGTTAAAATTATACTTGTATGACTGAATGCTATATTTTTTGCTGGTCAGCAACATGAAATATTGATATAATTTAATTTTTTTTTTACGATTTATCAGGATCGCAGAACTTTTCAGATACCTAAATAGTTCTATAGTTAAAATGTAAAAGCTTACTTTGATCCATAGAGCGTATCCCCTTGCACTAGATCGATTTATTAGTACCCCCCACATTACCCTTTCGATGTACTTGCATACAAATATACGGCAGTGTCAATTAAATACTTAATGTACAGAAAATATATTAATAAAATAGTGAAGAAGAAATTAAATTCAAGTTATTGACCCATAGAATATCTGTAAATAATATTTTATTTAATTAGAGAATACATATTTTGTTGAGAAAATATTACTTGATCCGTTTCTCACTGCATACAAACTACGTCACGTTGTAAAAAAAAAATGACGTCACATTGACAAGTGTATTGCGATCAGTAACTTGTTTATAACTTGTTATGTGGGATTTAACTTATGACAAAACAACACGCTGTAGTAAGTTTTTATGTTGTTTAATGATTACTCATTTTGTGGTATTTTAATGAAATGCTGTATTACGTATATTGTGTATGATGTCATAGTCAAGTTTTCCCGTACAAATTAGGCTCCGCCTCCTTTTTGTAACCTAAACTGTGCTGCGTATACAACTGACTAAGGAATATTTAATCACAGACATGACATTCCACCACCATTTTGTTGTGATTGTGAATGTTGAAAGCATGTCTTCTTCCAAGAAAGCATATTTTGGCAAAATTACTCCAGGTACCGTGTGAAGGGCAATGGATATATCATTCTCGCGATATTTTGAGCCTAGGATTGTCAAGAAAAAGAACTTTGGGCTCAAGGTGGACGTTTTTTTTTTTTAATATTTCTCAACTTTTGGTCAAGGGTTTTCAAGGATGCAGAAAAACAAAGGGGGCGTAGAAGGATTTCCGTAATTTAATCAACAATATTCAGATGATTTAAAAGAGGATAATCAGAGAAGAAATGTAAACGGGTAGTTATTTGAGTGTTCTTTAAGTGACAGAGAGAATGTTACACGGTACCCAACGTTGTTGTTTTCATGGTTAAGGACGCCAAGGTGTTGAGAAATAAAGAAATCAACAAAATTATCCGCTTTTTTGTTGGCGAAATCAGAAACAAATCGGGAGACAAGACTATTGACAAAACACCCTTGCATTCCTGTAGTAGAAAAAAAAATGATTATTCAAAGTACTAGTGAGAAATAAGAAGGAGATATTGGTTCTTTCCAGGAGAAGTGATATTCCCTCATGTGTTTACGGTGTAATTAAAATTTCAATAGAATTAAGAGATATTTCATTCAAATTCAAGTTCATATTCATTGTGAGTTAGAATATACATTTCATCATTTATTAGAATAATTACAAAGTTTCAGGTTTTGTTTCTGTGACTTGGAGTGTTTTATTTGATTACACTGTGAAACACGTTGGATTCATTGCCTAAAAAAATATTTATATGTGTTTATTTGGATTTCTTTATCCAGTAAGTTACTTGTAGCCATCTAATAAGTTATAGAAAACTGTCCATTATTTTTAATAATGGACAGATTTTTTAATTTATTAGACAGTTTCAAGTAACTTATTGAACTGTTTTTGGCTCGCAAGAAATAGAAAGCACTACAAGAACAAAAGATGATGTCATACTTATGTTTTAAATAAAGTTCAGAGGGTAAAATAGTTATCTTTTATAGTTCACGCATAGTAAAGCTATACCCCGGGGTATAGTTTTTGCTATTCAACCTCGGAAAATTTTCATGCAATTTTTGCCCCCAAGCCCTCGGGGAATAGTTCCCTGTCGCGGGTTTGATAAAAGAGCTATCCCACTCACAAACCGTGTATAAGCGTGTACTATACCCCTGGGTATATCTTTGCTATGCGAAGACTGTCAATGGTAGTTATTTTACCTTCTGAACATTATTTAGGAAATATTTTAAAAGAAGTTTGATGGAGCATGACATAGTAAATGCATTCCGAGTTTATCTCAAAATATAAGATCTAATATTTTTTCTTCAATGCCCAGTCTACGTAATGGAAAAGTTTGAAGTCTAAATTCTATTCTTAATCTGTATTTAATTACTTTATGAGACTTGTCCATCGATATAATAACAACCGTGCAATTTACGTATCCAAATTAAATGTTTGTCGATCTGATTGAAGAACAATAACTCTTTACAAAATTGCATTTATTTTATTTTATTTTTTCTAAACCTCAAACAATATAAACAATTTGCAATATATTTACCTATACAAGCACTACAGGTACAGAAGGAATAAAACAAATTCAATGTAGTTTAATTCTAAGGAAGTTATACAATTAAAATTTGTTGCAGCTTATTGCAGCAAAGCACACTCTTTCCTACACAGCATTGTTTAAAAATATATCAATTTTGTACAGAGAAATAACTTCCCTTAAGGACTTCTTGCCAAAAGTTTATGCAAAACTCGTCTCTTTCAGGATGTACAACACAACATACAAATCCCCAATAATATAACAATTATGAAGTTAAACGCTACGCCTCCTTCACGGTTCGATACATGTACGTATTGTAAAATTTGGAGTCGGTTCGGTTAGATTCAAAACATTTTGAAGGAAGGGAACGCATTCAATTGTTGTTTATGCTTTCTTTCACTTAAAATTTCACATTGCGTCGACATACCAATAAGTTTGGAGAGCTTATGAGGAACAGTCTATAAAAATGCTTTCTTAAAGAGTTGAATTCAAAATTTTCCAAAAAATGATATCAAAATAAATGAATATTTTATTCTCTTTACACATTAGCTGCCAATTCAGGATATAGTGAGATTAACAAACATCATAAAGAGGAAAATATACCTACAGGACCAGATTGTAAACTTCCATTGTTGTCACACGCAGAAACCACTGATGGTAATGATTCTATAGATAAATAATACAGTTGATATTAATATACCGTAACTCTGGAAATTTTTGCTGTAGATAAATGTTTAGCAAATTTGCTAGTTCATTGCATTCGCAGAAATATATTTCTTAAAAATAAATTACCAATCAGAAAATGTAAACAAAGCTGTGGTCATTCGCAAAATTTTGAAACGTAAAAATTAATCAACAGCATTTTGACCCAAATTCGCAAAATAAAATCGACGTAAAAATTTCCAGATCTACGGTATTTAAATTAATTACATTAAAAATATGTAATAATAGAAATTGACGTAAAATATAATTTCGTTGCAGAGTGCATACGGTCAACATTCCAAATTCTTTTAAAATTAAAAATTGAGAAATAATAATTGGCATATAATTTTAGATACAAGAGATCTGCAACAAACATTTGACGAACTTGAGCTAAGGGAAAAAGTATACGAAGTCACAGATACCGATGTTCATAGTGAAGTTGAGGAGATAGAACAACGTTTTACAGATCCTGTAACCAATACAAAGTTCAAAGACAGAATCCCAGGTATTGCAGATATTTGTGTTCTTTATGGACATTACTATATAGCATGATATCATAGATGCATTCTGAGTTTGTAATCTTAAAATATAAGAACTATTTTTTTTTCAATGCTCATTGTACGTAATAGTAAAGTCTAAAGTCCAAATTTTATTCTTAATATGTATTTATTTACCGAATAAGACTTGTCCATGGATATAACAACAACCGTGAAATCTGCGTTTCCAAATAACATGTATGTAGATCTGACTGAAGAAAATTGACTCTGTACGAAAGTACGTATATGCATGTTATTCTATTTTTTAACCTCAAACAATATGAGCAATTCGTAATATATTAACCTATACAATTAATACAGGTACAGAAGGAATTAGAACAATGTAGTTAAATTCTAATGAATTTAATATACAATTAAAATCCGTTGCAGCTTCTTGCAGCACGGCATACCTTAATTGAGTAAAATATGCAGATTGAGTTACCCTTGTCTTCAAAAAAATATTATTGTTATGATGTATAGTTCCGTTTGGTTGTGTCCAAATCATGGAATGCGGCAATATAATTTTTTAAGTGTTTCTTACATCAAAGATGGACAAACTATAAAAACGTGGCAAAAAGTGAATCTGACTTCATATTCTCTGGTTTGAATAGTAAGCGGTTATTCGACTTGTGCCTTCTCAAAAAAAATTCACCGATTGTATAAAATTTTTATGGGTGTTTTGGTGAATTTCGACCATGAAAATGGGTGTCTACTGTTTCTACACAAAATATGTTACATGTATATTTATTTTTCCGCAATACTTTGTGCAGGCGATTTTTCGAAAACAATTCACTGGTTTTAAGTAAAACTTGAAGGAATTATGCGTCATTATACATGTCTGATCTTACTTAATCACAAGGAATATTAGAAATACTTACCTTCGCTTCCAAGTTATTGACATTTTTTTCTGATTTTAAAATGGATTTTTGTGATTTTTTTTTAAATGATATGAGATATTAACTGGAGATGATAGATGATGACGTTTAGATGCCCAGAATCACCTTTTCGTGTGTCGCCAATACTTCCGGTTCCTACCGGAAGCGAGTTATAAAAGTCAATTTTTTCAACTTCCAGGTTTTCAGTATTTTTTTTTAAAATTAAAAAGTTAATAGAGACTCCTCTGGGAATGTCTTATATCTAATTTATTTTAAAATGGATCAATCCAGACTCCGGATTTTCGCATTTCTAAATTTGAAGCGAGACCAAAATGACGGTTGTCTCCAAAAACCAGATGGGAGTTTATGGGGGTCAACTTAGCGTTTGGTTAACGAAACTTACATGTATGTACCATAAGGATCAATGAAATGTGAAGGAGTTCTTGGAGAATTGTCACGTCGCAATCAGATTGCAACACTGATTTGAATTCAGTATTTAGTTAAGGTATTCCAGTTTAATTCGAGGTTTCCTCCAACCTCTGCTAAAATTGCTTTTGTCTATTTCTCAAAGTAGAATACAACTTGACTAAGAGTGGAAATACGATAGCATTCTTGACATTAGTAACCACCGATATGCGAATGGTATTTTACTCGACACTCATACATGTTGTAAACCTAGATTTCCTGAATGCAAAAACATTTGTGCAACCATCTTGAAGTTCAGAAGATACTCGACGTCTTCATCATCGATGAAAGACAGCAAAACCTTCCGACATTTTAAACTGGAAAAGAGCTTTGACACTTTGTAGGTGATGATACGACTGCTTAACAATCCAAGCTATTCTTATTTGCCACTAATGTATATTAAAAAAGAACAATAATTCGTGGGGATTAAATTTCGTTTATTTCGTTGTTAACAAAATATAACAAAATTAAATACCAATGAAATTTTATAGGACTATATATTGAATAGGGTTAGTTTTAAACAACGAAATTAAATGCAGACGAAATTATTTTTGATGGCGAAAAAATTTTATGCACACGAAAATTTGTGCTTCTACACTATGTGTTGGAATCAACAGTTACTTTTTCTTCATAAAAAATGAAAGAAAAAGGGAATGATGCGGAAACTGACCCCTTTTTGTTCATTTTTTTTAAAGTACAGCTTTTTTTCAAGTTATACTTTAATGAGTCTCCACCCATATACACTATTTTTTTCTAATGTGTATCGGGAAAAAAAAACTCTTTTCCTTTCGCTAGATCGTGGATTTGCTGAGGTCACAATATAATTTGACGTAGAAATCTTACAACTTTTACAGTAGCAAAGCGGTATGCATTGAAAAAATGAAATTTGCAAAGCAGTCTGTTTGATCTGTAAAATATTTATTAATTTTATATATGTATGAATTTAAAAGTAGAGGATGGATCAATGATTTACATGATCAAAATTGAGAGTTTTCTTTTATATTGGAAAATGAAAGACTAAAATTATTTTATTGAAACATAGTAATTTAGAACTCTTTGCATATAAAATTGTTATTTAATATATTATGGAGGGATATAAAATTGCGTGTACTTCGACTTTTTTTAAAAAAATAAAATTACAATCGAGAAACCGTCAAAACATTTTCGCAAAAAAATATCAGGAGAAGTTTAAGTCTTACAAAGGAATATAGCAAGTTTGAAGAAACTGTTTTTTTAATGAAAAAAAAAACAATACGAAGAAAAAGACAGACGATGCTCTCGAACCTGTAAAACCTTGCACGGACAAAATTCTTGGTAGGCAGGGCAGCGGCGAATAGTTAAAGAGCCATAGCGCAATCGATAGTCACTTTCGCCTAATCTAGTAGTGATTTTAAAAATACTTTGTGTAACAAAAATGTTGTCATACAATGTTAGTTTACACATGCCTTAAAGCAACTCACACAAAAATAATACTAAATTATTAATCGTTGCCTCATATGATAGTTATGAATTTTTTTCAGTTTATATGGAGAATATAGTAAATAGTGAGGTATCCCCCTAAAAAATGACAAACTATAGGAAAAGACCACCCTTAACCAGAAAAAACAACTTCTGAATAATTTTATTTGGATATGACTGCACTTCATTACGCTTAGAAAATTTTGGTTAAAGGTGGTCTTCATCTTGAAAATGTTGAAAATGTGTATTTAATTCTTCTTCTAGAATTATTTTAAAATTCAACAATCTGTCTTAATTTTATCCAATTGATAACCAAGTCTTTGTGGCATAGTGGTATGCTAGATTGAAAATATAATGATCGTTGATGAGTCTCACAGTGCGTGTACTACGATTTTATTTTTTTTTTGTGCGTTTTCCTTTGTTTTCTTTATTATTTTAAAATACATGTATAAATGATTTTTAAAAGAGATAAAGTGTATAAATGATTTTTAAAAGAGTTATTCTGTCTTGTTTAACAGGTATTCAGATATCCGGATGCTTCACATATCCGGACAAATTGACTGGGAACCAAAGCGTCCGGATAAATGAGGGTCCACTGTATATGGTGCAACATTACACATTAAAAATATCTTGGGGAAAAGCAGTTTTAAATTATTTAAATGACCCAAAGTCAAAGCTGCTAGCGTGTTTTTTTTTTTTAATTTTCAAACAATCTTGTTTATATTTTAGAACAAGAGTACTCGACAAGTCAAATTGCTGTCATGCAACAAACTTGCAACTATGAATATATAACTCTGGTTCACAAATGATTACATACATGTGGATTTATTTTAGTTTGTAAAGGTACATGTATCTATAAATAGAAACAGGTGGTTTCCTTTTAAATACATGTACTTGTGTAAGGCAGCTATGGCTCTTTAATTTGCTGGTTGAGGGATAAAAAATGAGTATTTGTTATTGAACCGTCTCTATTTTTGTACTGCTTAAAAATATTGATATAATGATACATGTATCTGTTCTCTATATATCATGTCAAAAGAGCAACAAATCGAATTTCGTGTCCAATGGACTTTTACGAGTAGAACTGACTTTTACATTTGACTGTTTACTTGGACATTTAAACCTGTGTCATCTACGGAGGTACAGAATTGATGATGGATAAGAAAATCTTTCTTGTGGTCATAGAAATGGTGTAAAGGGCACTTATATGTCAAGGCCTGGATTTGAGTGTAGGATGATTGTCACTTTCTTCTAGGACAATTTATATGAGCTTTAAAATAGCCCGTTGTTTTCGTTGGTTAAAGGTTGAGCTAAATATTTTTCTTAAAAGAGCTTCCATACACTGTCCTAGTGTGAGAGTAATTCGTCAACTGTAAAAGTCGGCGCTTCTCGTTAAAATCCAATAGAAACATCACACCACACAAAAAACCAATTCGTTGTTTTGAAGTGACATTTTATTAACTTGATGAAATTCACTTTTCCAAAACATGTTATCATTAAAAGTACGAGATAAATATGTGTACGTCGTACATTGTAACGCGCATCTAGTAAGGAATCACCTTTGACCTGCAGATGAAGGTGTGTGTATGAGGAGGGGGGGGGTCAAGGCAAGAAATTAAAATCTGTCACATTTCATTATAGATAAAAATAATTCATGTTAAATGCATATGTTCTTAAAATCTGATTAGACGATTTCTTCAAGTATATATATACGTCATTTTGTTCATTCTTTTCCGTCCTGCTTGTGTTTACTAGAGAAAAAAAAAACGTTTCATTGTGTTTCATTGAACTAGTGGAAAGCTTTGGGTAAATTATAACAATATTTACATGAACAAAATCAATAAATCATTTATTATATTTTTTGTCCTAGTGACAAGATCATTCATTTGAAATCAAGACTTTTGACCCTGGAGTTTGACCTACTTTTGAAAATTTTAAACGTTGTCCATAACTTTTAAACAGTTAAGTCTAGAGCTTCCATACTTCACATTCGTATTTTTTGTGGCAAGATTGTTTATTAAATACTTGTACCAATGACCTTGACCTTTTGAGCTTGACCTTGAAGATTTCCTTACTTATGAAAATTTTAAACCACGGCAATAATTTTTTGGACATTTACGGTTAGGGCTTCCATATCAAATATGTATATTCTTTGTGGCAAGACATTATCTTTGATAAAAAAACCTTGACCATAGGGGATTTTTGACTTATGGAAAAACATTATGGAAAAACATTAAGCTTAGCAATAATAACACAATAATTGTGTTTGAGGGCATCCATACTTCACATATGTATTCTTTGTTGCATGGCCGTTTATTTAAACTCGTAAGTTTACTTACCTCGTCATTGGTCATTTGAAAAATTATTTTGTTAAGGTCATTGGTAACGAAGGGTTTCCGGAGAAAAAAGGTTTATACCCAGGTTTCTTTACTTATGAAAAAAAGTCATTGAGAGTGATCTCCCGTATGGAAATCTCTAGGCGCTGAAAACAAAGAAAGCATATGTAACAGATCGAGAGGTAAACAAAAGCACGTGTGTTTTTTATCGGATATATTCAACTCTACAGTAATAAAAGAAAAGCAGCGATGGGTTTGTTTACATTGTGTTGAGGGGGCAGACAGTTAACAGGTCGTCATTTAGAATAGGTAAATGATTGCTGGGAAGTGAAAAGGTGTGAAATAATTATGCTGAAAGTGTTGATAGCTAGGTAGACCGAATGAGAACGATTCCATAAGTTATGTGAATGATGCACCATTAAAAAGTTACTATGAATCCTTGCAAAAATGTTTTTTGACAATTCGTTTCCAATTAAGTGAATTATAGAATAGAAACAAACAACCACTCTCTTGATCATTCTGAATATTGATTAGATGTTATTACAGTAAAGGGAAGTAACTCAAAATTAAAGAACAGTGCTGGTATTTCTGTGTTTTGTTTCAATATTCGCATTTTCAGTCAAATTATATGCATGTCATCGGAAATAAGGTTTCAACAATGTGTTTTATGTATAAACCTTATGAAATAAATGGGTTTTAGAGAAAACGTATGGTTAAAAATAATATAGGCCAATTTTATCAACATTTTACATAGGAAATGCATTGAAAATTGTAAAAACATTGATTTGACAAAATCGTTAAAGGAAGGCTGGCTTGATGGGTAAAAAGGACCTGAATTGAACATGTTTGGTACCATTAAACCTGTTCAAAAAATCTTGAAAAATTCTATACGAGAACCAGAAACGTTGCCAATGTCCTTAAAACAGATTCTGATTGCACACATAAGTACTCTGAAGTTGACATCAAGAAGATGCTTGAGTTTCTGATTGACAATATCTATGTGGTTTTTGGAGACCAGGTATTCCAACAATCTATTGGAATTCCCATGGGTACAAATTGCGCTCCGTTATTAGCAGACTTATTTTTATATTCATATGAGGCAGAATTTATGCAGAATCTTTTACGTGAAAAGAAGAAAACACTTGC